CCGCCACAACGCCTGGCTATTTTTTGGTTGCAGCCGTCATTGTTGTTTGGCGGGTCCGGGCTGGGGATTTGAACCTGCCACCTTAGGTGTACATGGCTGGCGCCTTAGCCGGTTGAGCTATAGGCGCCAAGCCCAGAATTTCTTTAAAAGAACATCATCTGTTTGAAGCAAAAACACTAACAGTGCAATGCAAGGTTTATAACACAGAAGTAAAATGTATAACAATCATAGCACAAGGAAGGGAAAGGGAAAATGAAGTGTTTTAAGATTTTAATAGAAGGCTTGGCGCTCGTAGCACAGTGGTTATGGCACCAGCCACAGAGGCTAGTGGGTTCGAACCCAGCCAGGGCCAGCTAAACAACGATGACAACTGCAACAAAAAATGGCCAGGCTTTGTGGCAAGCTCCTGTGGTCCCAGCTGCTTGAGTAGCTGAGACAACAGAATTGCTTAAACCCAAGGGTATAATGTTGCTGTGAGCTGTGATGCCACAGCAGTCTACTGAGGGTGACATAAGACTCTGTCTCAAAAAAAAAAAAAAAAAAGATTTTAATAGAATACATAAATGGTATATTATTTGAAGGTAGAATGCTATAAATTAAGAATGCATCTTGTAAGTTCTAAAGCTCAGTTCTCAACCAGGAACAATTTTGCTGCCTCTTCCCTGTCCCCAGGATATCTGGCAATCACTTACAGACATTTTGATTGTCATGGGGGTAGGAGGAGGACAAGCTATTGGCATCTAGTGAGGAAAGGCTAGGGATGCTGCTAAATATCTTATGATGCACAGGTCAACCCCCATAACAAAAAAATAATCTAGGCAGCGCCTGTGGCTCAGTGGGTAGGGTGCCAGCCCCATATAGCGAGTGCGGTAGGTTCGAACCCAGCTCCAGCCAAACTGCAACAAAAAAAAAGCCAAGCACTGTGGTGGGCACCTGTAGTCCCAGCTACTTGGGAAGCTGAGGCAAAAGAATCGCCTAAGCCCAGGAGCTAGAGGTTGCTGTGAGCTGTGATGCCATAGCACTCTACTGAGTGCAGTAAAGTGAGACTCTGTCTATAAAATATATATATGTATCTAGTCCAAAATGTTAATAATGTAGAAGTTGAGAACCCTAGAGCAACTATTTTCTTTCTTAAGTGTAACTAATAAGTCAACAGAGAAGATGGAATTCATGAAAAGAAAAAACTCAATAAATCTAAAAGAAGATTAGAAAAGAGGGGACTGAGATAAATAGAAGTAATTTCTGGCTCGGCACCCATAGCTTAAGCGGCTAAGGCTCCAGCCACATACACCAGAGCTGGTAGACTCAAATTCAGCCTGGGCCTGCCAAACAACAATAACAACTACAACCAAAAAACAGCAGGGCGTTGTGGCAGGCGCCTGTAGTCCCACCTACTTGGGAGGCTGAGGCAAGAGAATCACTTAAGCCCAGGAGTTAGAAGTTGTTGCGAGCTGTGATGCCATGGCACTCTACCCAGGGTGACAGCTTGAGACTCTGTCTCAAAAAAAAAGTAATTTCTGGCTTGGCACCTGTGGCTCAAGTGCCTAAGGTGCCAGCCACATACACCTAAGGTGGTGGGTTCAAATCCAGCCCAGGCCGCCAAACAACAATGAAGGCTGCAA